GGAAGCTTCTCTCCTGAGCCTGCATCTTCTGCTCCAGCTCCTCCTGTTTCTGTCTTTGCACCAACACTTCCTGCTCAGCTGCCTCCTTCATGGCCCGTTCCGCTGTTTTACAAAGATTTTACAGAGGGAAGAAAATTATAGTCAGGCCTGAGTTCTACCTGCCTGAGTTCTACGCTCCTGAGCTCAGAGAACAAATGACTTTTAAAAACCCAGAGAGGTGGACCATCAGGAATATCTGAATTCTCCATCAGGCACGTCAGGCAGAGTGTGTTTCAGACTGGAAAGAAAAGAAACTGACTGGCCAGATGTGAAGCCCTAATTCTCCTTGTGTCTGTAAGATTTAGCAGAGCATGTGTTCTCCAACAGGATGAAGCTTCTGGTATCAGGAATATCCACTGTCTGATTAAGCAGAGTGCACTGCAGGAACCTCCCCAGCCTGTGCAAGCTGAGTCCTGCCCCTCACCTACTACAGCCCTCTCTCCAGCGCTGAGGGCTTTGTCTGCCTGCAGGATGGATTCCTCTGTAACCACCTGCTGGTGCAAGAAGATCTGGAGAACCTCGTTTGCCTGAGGAACGAAGGAGTAAGATCTGTGAGGCTGCAAAGATCTTGTCTTCTAATGAGGAAAGTAACGTTCAACAAAATTAAGTATGGAAATGCTGTATCCTCCTTAGGATCCCACAGTGTTTTGTCCTTCCCCAGCCACAATAAGAGGTCTGAGTTCTATATGGAGACATGAAGACCCTTCCAGCAGCCCCCTTCCCAGGTATCGTTATGTTCTGCCTTCATTCCACAAATGGTGCTGTGGTCTTAGACCTCCAGAAGGGGCAACAAAGACCCACTGACTATATCCTCTGGTATCCATCCTCCTGGACCCTATTCCTCACCTTAACTCCTTTTCTGGGCACTAGCTCATAGTCCCGCTCAACTTGTTTCTTTACTTCTAAGTAGAGCTTGTGTCCTCCAGGAACAGAGAAAGTTCCCCTCGAAACACTTTCCATCAGCGACTCTGAAAGACGTGTAAGCTCAGCCTGGCAATATTTGACAGATGCCTCTTCATTCTTCAGTACGAATTCGTC